TGACTAACAATTTTTTTAAGAAATTGAATCTTTAACCTTAGCACAATAATGCTGATAGACTATCAAAGAACTTGTAAATAGCCTGTTTTAACCCATACTTCTATATATAATTGCCTTGACTAGAGCCTGGAGCAAGTACTTAATTTATATTCTTCGTTGTCCCCTAAATTTAAATAGTATTTAATTCTGGAACATAATTTCAGAATGATACAGTGTTTCCTGAAGAGTACTTAGACTGGCTTATTACAGGATTGTTGAAGCTGGGTGATTTAGTAGAACAAATAGAAGCTTTGGAAGCCAGACAAACCCCATCTTATTTCATTAATTTACTCGCTATTAGGCTTGAACAAACCCAATAACCCATTTGAGCCTCTGTTTCTTTTTTTAATATATAATTTTTATTGTTGACAGTATTACAGATATCTCCCATTCCCCCCGCCCCCTTTACCCATTTCCATCCAGCCCCAACCCCCTCCCCCCACCAGGCCTTCACCACACTATTGTTTCTTTATATGGGAAATAGGGAAAGATATTCACTATGAGGTTTAGAGATAATGCATATTAAATAAGAGGCACTAGCTGGTGCTCAAAGAAGAATACTGCTGATGATTAATAATGAGATTTATATTAAATGATCATCTCAAGGTTTTACAGTAAGGACTTCATAGAGAAAAAGAACATGGCAGATGGTTGGACTGTGCTTTCAATAACTTTGAATACCAAAATCCACAATGGTGACTGTTCACGAGCTACCAAATGGAGAAGAACCAAACTAATACTATTTACATTAGGATTCAGAGGCATAAAAATCATTGCAATAGGAGCTCTTTGCAATAAATTAATGTAAGGTTTTCCAGATTATTTACCCAATATACTTAACAAAGGTGTGAGGTTTAGTGTAAGATAGAAATAACATAATATGAGGAATGCACTAATTGTATGATGATCAAATTTCTCGTTTATTTTTCTATATTTTGAATTTTATGTGTGGGAAATTATATTGACTAACATCAGGCAATTTTTGCTGAATGCAAGTCTTTAAAAAGAAAATTGGGGTGGGGTAAGTTTTCCTATAATTTAAACAGTAAAACTTGTACTTGGAGAAAATCTGGAAAATGCTGAAAGTCAAAAAAGTCCCATGATCTGATTACCAGTGGTGGCTTGTGAATTTCTATAAACAAGTTTGGGGAGAAAATTTAGCAGAAGGGGGACTATGATACTTGTCTTGAAGCTGCCTTTCTTTGCTACCTTAACAGGAAAGGCTTGGGCCTATCGGTGGAGATTATGGGCGGGTTTAAGGTCCTAAACCTCTTCTCTGTATGGATTGCCACTTCCCAAAAGAAATGAACACTTAAAGTCAGAAGGCTCTAATTTCCGATGTTTATTACTCCCCTCCCCCACCATGTTGTACAGAGCAGAGTTGAATTTGTTCTATTTTTGGCAAACTGAAAACAGAGATCTGAGCCTTCCTTTACAAAAAAAAAAAAAAAATGTTGTGGAGGATTAGATTACTAACACAATAGTTCTTAGCTTTAAAAATCCCTATAGTTAATTCTAGGGATTCTTTACTTATATAACCTAACGTTGTAATTAATCCTCGGACACAATGTCAGGATTTTCTTTCTTCCTCACACACTGCTGATTCTGTAGGAAAACACCCCTTTCCTTTTTTAGCTGGCTCTAATGTATGCGGCCATTCTTCACCACAGTCAGATTTCCCACTTCGAATCAAAGGTGTGGTGGCTTATTCTGTTGAGAATTCTAATCCTCTGGGTCTGGACTTTACATTGGCTATTGCATCGTCCATCCAGGTGTGCTGTTTGGAGTCCTGTGTATTGGAATGGCTGCTTTGGCATCACTAATGGGAGCTTTGTTGCAGGTAAGAGCTGACTCCTTCCTCAGAACTTTGACTCATAATCACTTTTTGTTTTTAATGCTGATGTGACCATCCTTCCAGATTCTCCTTTTATGTATTTAATACATAGACATATCATGGAACAGAGGTGACCAAATTCTTAAAAATTTCTTAAATTAAACTTTCTATTTAAAAAAAATTCATTTTTATTGATTTCAGAGAGGAAGAGAGAGGGAGAGAGATAAAAACATCAATGATGAGAGAGACTCATGGATCAGCTGCCTCCTGAATGCTGATGTGCCCTGACTGGGAATCAAATCATGACCTCCTGGTTCATAGGTAGATGCTCAACCACTGAGCCATTCTGGCCGGGCTAAACTTTCTATTTTGAGAAAGTTGTGGGGATCATTGTAAATTATGAGATCATTGTAAATTTACATCTATAATAATAAAAGTGTAATATGCTAATTAGACCAGACGACCTTCCGAACGAAGCTAGGGCTGTGAGGGAAGCCGGTGCCGGCAGCTGGGGGAAGGAAGGCCTACTCTTGCATGAATTTCGTGCATCAGGCCTCTAGTGTAATTATAAGAAGTAATCCAGAGATCTCATATATATGCTTTTACCTTCCCTCCTTCAAAAGTAACATCTTGCAAAACAGTAGTACAACATCACAACCAGGATATTGACATTGGTACAGTCAAGAGATGGCACATTTCCATCACCACAAGGATCCCTCATATTGTACTTCTATAGCCACTTTCACTTCCTCCTGCCCCTACTTCCTCTGTAACCCGTGGCAACCACTACTTTGTTTTCTGTTTCTATAATTTTGCCATGTCAAGAATGTTATAGACATGGAGATTGGCTCTAGAGAAGCTGTGAACTGACTCCTTAGCATTGTATCATGAGTCCACATCCTCCTCAAACACATTCTTTGTCACAAGTATCCACAGCCCTGCCTAGTTCATAAGGTAGGCTTTTTCTCTGTGGACAAATTAGTGTGTTCCTGATGCTTCTTTTATGGTTCTGTCTACTCCCCAAAACTAGCTATTTGATTATTGGGAACACAGATCTCTTGGAAGTTTCAGCTATTTGCATTTTTCCATTCTTCACATTGTAAAATTTTTTCACTATCACCAAAGCAAAGGTTGCAATTAGGCAATTAGTTTTAAATCTCTTTCTAGATGATTTGATCAATCTTCTTTTAAATCACGTTTTTCATTCTAGTTCCATACTTAGGGAACCAAAGATAGCATTGGTTTTTTTTTGCCATCTGTGGTCACTTAGTAGTACTTATGCGTAACATTGTTTTGAGGAGAATTTTAAGGCTATCAAAGCACGAATGAGTGATGTAATTGATTATTAAGGTCTAGGAGAGTGGTTCTCAACCTTCTGGCCCTTTACATACAGTTCCTCAGGTTGTGACCCAATCATAAAATTATTTTCATTGCTACTTCATAACTGTAATGTTGCTACTGTTATGAATTGTAATGTAAATATCTGATATGCAGGATGGTCTTAGGCGACCCCTGTGAAAGGGTTGTTCGACCGCCAAAGGGGTCGCGACCCGCAGGTTGAGAACCGCTGGTCTAGGAGAACAAGGCTGGGAGGACTGATGTCACTGTTGACTTACGTATTCATACGGGAGCTCCCATTGTCTTCTGGGTCTCCACCTCCATTACATTTTGCTTCCCATATCAGGGTACCTGAAGGAGCATATGGATACTTGAGACTAAGAAGCAGAAGCTTCCAAGTTCTAGTGATCTCTTTGCCAATGACAAGGCTGCCATGCTTTTCCGGAGGAACCTGAATACCTTAAATCCTCATCCTGATGAAATTACTTTGAATCATTTTAATTCTGGATTTGAGATTTCTAATTGCTGGCCTTATTATTTTTGCAGGCAGCGCTCAGCATAATTGGCATGATTGGTGGACCACTCCTGGGCTTGTTTAGTTTGGGCATTTTGGTTCCCTTTGCCAACTCAATTGTAAGTATAAATGAATATGTGTAAGGCTTTCTTTCCAAAATACATTAGCAGCTTTACAACTTTTTCTCAGTTGTAAAGACGCTATCCATATTAGTGACTTGTCTCAATGACTTAGATCACTCATATCGACTTTGCCGGGTTGTACAATGAAGTTCTATCCACTGGGACCCTGCATTTGTGAAGCTCAGTGGAAGCTGCCAGAACAATATAGTGCAATTTCAAATATTTATACTATAACCAAGGGGAAACATTTCTTGTGCATTTATCTTTTTGGCCTTCATGAAAATTAATTGTTAGCAATTAAAGAAGGAGATTGACAGACTTGGATATGAGAGATTTAAGGATGATAGAGCGGAGGATACCTGTGAATATCCAGAGTACAGCAAAGAGGAGCACTGAAGTCTTCACCACCTTGGCCAGAAAGTTTCTACTCCTGATATTTAAAGCTGTAGCTCCAACAACATGGTTCCAGCCCCAAAGGGGTGATCATAATTGGGAATAGTAACCAAAAGAGGGAGTAGGCCTGCTCTTCTACATTGATAGATCAGTGCTTTGAAGAACTAAATTTTGTTTGGACTAAATGAAGTTGAAATTATGTATCTGAAATTCAGGCGAAAGTCCACTGATTCAGTCTTCTCAGAAGATAAACTTCAGGAAAAACTGATCCCATATATGGTTATTTCAGACAGATGGAGAATAACCACAGAACTATGACTTTACATTTAGAATTCAATGTCCCTAATAATGTATTAGGAATTAGTAAGGCAGATACTAATAAGGGCTCTACTGTCACTATTATTATTTATTCTCAATGAAGTATCATATAAAAAGCTAGTTTGTTAGAAATTAATTTTAATGAAAGAGAGTGGTTTGTGTCTACCTCAGAATGTTAAGCCTTTGATTAGACTCTTTGCATTATGAAATACATAGTGGTTTGATTACTGCCTTTTGGTTTTTGACATTTATTTCCACCATGAGTTGCCTTCAGAAAAGCTGTAGGTCCAACATGGTGTGTGTGTGTGTGTGTGTGTGTGTGTGTGTTTAAGAGAAATAAGATAGTGGTATTTTTTATAAAAAGGGGGAAGTTCCTTTACTATATTCACATTTTCACCAGAAGAATATCTACCCTCACCTTAGAATGGACTTCCTCCTTCCCTCCCTCTTTCTCTTCTTCCTTCCGTTGCTTCTCTTCCTCTCTCCTTTTCTCTTTCTTTCCCACCCTCTCATTCACTTATTTATTTATTCATTTGTTCAATAAATATTTATGGCTTAAACCTGTCCTGGGAGTAGAGAACACTGAATATTTCTGCCTACATGGGTTTTATAATTTTATGTGTCCAGTCATGTACAAAGCAAGTCTGACCTGTTAACAGCTGGCCATCCTGCTATTTCAACTTCATATTATTTAAAATATATATTTATTGCCTGCCTACAGTATGTCTAACACTGTGGTAAGTGTCAGGGCATCAAAAATAAAGAAACCTAATTCTGCTTTCTAGGGTTCACAACTTAATGAAAAGGCTTACAGTCCTTTTCTGCAAAATAAATCCTCTGACCTGGTCAGCAGCCTTCTCATTCTCCCATCAATGCACCATTGTTGTTGTTTCAAACCCTATCATTTTGCTCATGTTTTCCCCCTTACTTCAAATATTCTCTCCTGTCCTCTGTGGAGCCTGGGGTACAGGCTGCCCTCTCTGATCATTATTCTTAAAGAAAGGGGGAAATTTTACCACAGAGGAAGGGGCTTCCCAGCTCCAGGTTTGTTTTCGTCCCCATCATTTGGAACTAGGGCTTAAATCACTCAAGGGCTGGCAGAACATCTGGATTACTGATGAAAAGCTGGGGTGGGGGACCCAAATCTCCCACAGATTGGGAAACCAAATGCCTTTGGAGAGGACATCTCCAATTATCTCTAGAAGGATTTGGCGTGGTAGTATGCACCAGTGAAGTCATTTCCCCCCCTAATTACCTTGTGGTGCAGTTGCAGTCATGCATGGTGTTAAGTGTAGGAATAAACTCAGTGTATGCTTTTTTCTTCACAGTCTGTGGCTCACATGGCATGCCATTTGTTCACAGATTAAATAAAACTAGAGTTGGCCTGGAGTCAGCTACGGCCCTGTTGTAGTAATTTGGACGTGAAGAGACAAGAAGGTCAGAACAGAGTGCTGGCCATAGAAACAGAGTGGTAGAATTGCAAGTATGAGACATATGAGAAGAAAAATGGGCACGAATTGGTGATGGACTAGATAGCGATATGAAGAAAGGGAATGGGATTACAGCATCCTCAGGGCTGAGGATCATGGGCCTATGCGCTCTTGACAAGAGGTAGGGATCTTGTGTGTGTGTGTGGGGGGGGAACAGTTTTATGAGGAAGCTGGTAAATTTGCCTTAGACCATGTTGAGCTTAACCTTCTAATGTTAATTTCCATCTCAAAGCAAATGGAATTGTTTTTCTTTTAAAAACACTCTTGTTTTGCAGGGAGCACTTATTGGTCTGCTGGCTGGATTTGCTGCTTCTTTCTGGGTTGGAATTGGAGCTCAACTCTATCCCCCACTTCCTGAGAGAACCATGCCACTAAGCCTTGAAACCTATGGCTGTAACAACACATACAATGGGTCGAATTGGATGACAACCACAGCAATGCCATTTTCTACCACTGCTTTTCAAGGACACAACGTTGAAAGGTATTGAATTAAGCTTTATAATGTCAAAATTTTAAAAAAATATATGTGACAGGTAGAGAACCCTAGTTGCTTTTTGTCATGCCTGCAATAGTGATTTTTGCATAATTCTGAAAGGAGGAGAGATCATGGGGCTTTCTGGCTATAATATTTTGTTCAGAAATAGAAAAAAAAGCCACATTTTTTAGTTTCTATAGAAACTTCTGCCTCACCTACAGATCCAGAGAAGACTTGAATAGTAACAACAACAACAAAAATTCCATTATAGGTAAATTCTATGAAATACCAGCTCTATTGGGATTAAATTGTCTTTGTCAACTGAAAAACTTTTAAAATGAAAAGCTCAATTATAAAAAAATATATTGCTTATACAGTCTTTGAAGTATAGCCTTTACTGATTAAAAGCTATAATTATCTAAATGTGTTGAAAGTTGCTATTTGTCCGGATTTCAAGTCTTTAGAGCACTAGCAATGAACTGCATCTGAGCTCTTCGTGCTGGGGTTTTCATCTCGAAGTACACTTTTGAGCTTCTGGATACTGATGCTGTCTGATTTAATGCAATGATGTAGACCTGTTGGTAGATTAGTGTTTATTATATAGTGAATGTGAGGGCAAGGCTTTCATTAGTGGGTATACAGTTGACCCTTGAACAACACAAGTTTGAACTGCGCGGGTTCACTTATACACAGATCTTTTTTTTCAGTGAATGTATACAGTACTGTAAATGTATTTTCTCTTCCTTATGATTTTCTTAGTAATATTTTCTTTTTCTCTAACTTACTTTATTCTACGAAAACAGTATATAACATGCAAAATATGTGTTCATTGACTGTTTATGCTATTGGTAAGGCCTCTGGTCAGCTGTAGGCTATTAGAGTTAAGTTTGGGGAGATTCAAAAGTTATACACAGATTTTTGACTGAGCAGATGGCTAGAGCCCCAACCTCTGCATTCTTTGAGGTTCAATTGTGTAAATGTCCGGCCTGAAAGCATAAAACCCAAAGACATGTACAAGGACTGGAAAAATGAGGCTCTCCTCCCTCAAAGTATTAACCAGGTTCCAGGTTACCTGGAATGAAACCGTCATAGAATCATTCCCTTGGAACACCCTTGAGAGAAGTCATGTGACCATGATTAGTGATTCATGTTCTAAGCAGTGGTTCTCAACCTTCCTAATGCCACGACCCTTTAATACAGTTCCTCATGTTGTGGTGACTCCCAACCATAAAATTATTTTCGTTGCTACTTCATAACTGTAATTTTATATTGTTATGAATCGTAATGTAAATATCTGATATGCAAGGTGTATTTTCAGGGGTCGCGACCCACAGGTTGAGAACCACTGGACCTAGAGAGAACTCAGCTGTGAGAATGCTTGTCAGTGGGAGTTCAGGGCTGGAACTCCATATGGTAGAAACTTCAGGTAGTTTCAGGGCCTGGGGCATATTTAGAGAGATTTGACTAGGTGGGCTGCTGTCCAACAGGGGTAAGGAAATGCAGGGAAATGGCCTGGACAAGCATGAAAGCACTACTGAGGGGCGTGTTGGGATCTCATTAGAGAGAGTCAGTCGGGGAGAAAATATTAATGGAAGGGTAAGGAGGAGGACGTGCAGGATGTTCTTTGTATTTACAATTTTGCTTATCATTTGTTCTGATTTTGTAAATACCTCTCTTAATTTAAGATTCTAAGAAAAATGGTTATTTGGATTCCTGAAACAAATAAATTTGCTGAGTTTTACTGTGTGCCGGGTACCATAATAATCGCTTTTATGTGTTAGCTTATTTATAAAATAACTCAGCTAATAAATAAGAAGTTTTGAGCATGAACTATGTACTCAGCTCTGAGATGGCTATTTATGTAATATTCATAGAAAGTTTTCCCCTCACATTCACTGTGGTTCCTGCCTTACAGGAAATTATAATTTAGCAGGAGAGAGTGTGTTAATATATACAAAACAATTCAGTAAACACAATAAGTATAATAACTAGCACCTGGTAAATAGCTAATAAAAACTTGATAAATAATTGCTGAAAGAATGAATATAAACAGAGTTGGAGTGTGGATTAGCACAGAGACTTCAGAGATGTACCACTTGAAGAATGCAGAGGTTGGCTCGAGGGAGAAGGTCTGGAACATTATTCTTGTCACAGAAAATGAGCAGAAGGAAAGTTGGACAAGAAAATAAATTACTGTTATTCATCAGTTTATGTTATTCATTAGATTCCACATATGAGTGAGATCATGTGACACTTATCTTTCTCTGACTGGCTTATTTCACTTAGCATAGTGCTCTCCAGGTCCATCCATGCTCATAGAAGCATCGAACAGACTGTCCAACCTCATAGGGAAGGCAGGGGAAGGTGGCATTTGGGAGGGAAGAGATCAACCAATGAACTCATATGCGAATATGCATAACCTATGGACACAGATGGCGGGGTGGTGGGGAACTGGGTGGGCGCTGGAAGGTGGGGTGGGAGAGATCAATGGGGGAAAGAGGGGACATATGTAATACTTTCAGCAATAAAGATTTAAAATATGAAAAAAATAAATGATTAAATAGTGCATTGAGATAAGTGGTATTCCTAGGCTGTCATGGGAGCCAGGAAGAGGAAGAGCCTACCTATTCCTGGGTGGAGTCAAGGAAACCTTCTAAGAGCGATATTACATGAGCAGGAGTTAATCAGGAGAACAAGGTTGGGCAGAAGGGACTAAAGGAAGGAATGTATATGCAGAATGGAGAAACAACATAGGCAAAGGCATGAAGGACTAAAGCCACATGACATCTTAGGAAATCATGCCTAGGTCAGCATCACTGGAGATGAAATAAGACACCCTTTGGTTGCCTGGCTACTGGGTTTCAGTTACCCAGATTCAGTTTTTTATTTTTTAAGTTCCTCACGGTGCTTCAGGCTGCTGGTGTTTACTCCTCTCTAGGATGCTTTCTTCAATAACTCTTTGTTATTCAGCTCTCAGTTCAAATGTCACTTCTTCACAAAGGCTTTCTCTGATCACACCTTAGAGTGTCATTCCCTCTTTCCACCTGCTAATGTCACATGACCTTGTTTTCTTTTCTATATGGTGTTTTCCATCAGTGGAAATCATTGTATTTATTAATTAGTTTCCTTATTATATTTATCTCCTCATTAGAATGTAAGCTTTATGAGGGCAGAAACCTTATCTACCTTTTTAATGATAGACCTTTTTAATGATGACAAGAATGGTGCCTGAGACATGCATCACAGTTGAATGAATACACCTGGACATTTAGTATAGGGTTAAGGTTAAGTCGTACTTTTAATTCCTGAACCAATACGATAAAATTGGGACAGCAGATTATGACACTAAAATCATTATTAAATATTATATTTTGACTTTGCCATGAGGATTATTGACACTCTTAGTTGCCAATAGCATTACATGAAATCTGACAGTTTTGCTTTGCTCTCTCTTAGGACTCCACTGATGGATAACTGGTATTCTTTATCGTATCTATACTTCAGCACCCTTGGAACTTTGGTAACATTATTCGTGGGAATACTTGTCAGTTTATCAACAGGTAACTATCTAAACATTAGTACTGTTGTACTTACTTACCTCTACATCAGTTTTTACTATACATGTTTTATAGCTATTTATGTTATTTCACCATAGTCCTGTTAACAGCTAAGTTTGATTATTTGTTCCATTTTACATGGGGAATTTGGAAGCAGAAGACTCATCTCTGTTTGAATCTTTGTCCTGTTATTTGCTAGCTGCATGAACATGGAGAAGTCTAGATAGCTACTCTGAGCCTTAGCTATCTTTTGTGTGAAATGTGAATAATAATAATAATAATAATAATAATAATTGACCTGCCTATCTCACAGGTTGCTTTCAGACAAAAATAAAATGCTTGAAAGAAATTGTACATGGCTACCACATGCTATGAATTTTACATATATTGTTACAACAACCCTGTGTCATTGCCCTATACTGACCTTTGTAAAATATAAAGAAGCACACACATGTAAGGAATAATGATTGTAATCTTTATATCTAAATGGTATGTGAAGGCTATTTTCGAATGTTCATCAACTTTGAAAAGTAATTTTAAAAAATCAGATTGATAATACACATAGTATACACTGCTCTCTTGGATTGATACAGAACTGTTGTCCTGGAACTTCATTTCTCCTCACGCCATGAATTCCCTTTGTCTCCCTCCTGTGTTAGATTCCCTTCCATCTAACTAATTATTAAATGGAGCACATGGAAAAGAGAGGAGATTCTGGAAATGACACATGCCTGAAAAAAGTGTCTTTAATTCTCCCTTATGCTTGATTGTTTGCGTGGAGAATCCTAGGTTGAAAAGAACTCTTGTTTCTGAGAGGATGTCTTAATTTTCTTGTAGCTTACTGTGTTTCTGATGAGAATACCAGTGCCATGCCACCTGCTGACTCTTTGCATGGGACCCACTTCACAATGACAACCCTAGGCCAGTGGTCGGCAAACTCATTAGTCAACAGAGTCAAATATCAACAGTACTTCTTCAAAATAGACTCGCCCAGGCCGAAAACTGACTTCTGCGCATGGGCCACGAAGTTTCAATCGCACTGTACGTGTGCCCGCACGTGGTATTTTGTGGAAGAGCCACACTCAAGGGGCCAAAGAACCGCATGTGGCTCGCGAGCCGCAGTTTGCCGACCACAGCCCTAGGCCTTCAGTAGGGTCCTTTCAATCTGAAGACCCGTGTCCTTCAGTTCTAGGGCATTTTCCTATATTATTTCATTTGTAATTTCCTGCTATTTTCTGTTTCCTCTTTCTGGAAATTCTATTTGTCAAATGTTTGAGTCTTGGACAGTTCTAATTTTCTTATCTTTTCTCTCCTATTTTCTATCTCTGTGCTTATTAGGTCTACTACATGGGATATTTTTTTTCAATTTTCCGATAATTCTCAAAGGAGCACTCTGATCCAGCCTTGAGAATAGTCTGTAAGGGAAGGAGGACAGGTAGGAGGCTATTGCAGTAATCCAGGTGAGCGATCACAGTGGCTCAGACCAGGGTAGTAATGTGGAGTTGGTGGAAAGTGCCAGGCTCTCTAATTTCTTACGCTCCCTCACACATGTACATCCACAGAAATCAAACTAGGGGAAGGCACTGCTTCTTTATCAAATGTGTAATGACTAGTTAGAACTTCTACACCCTGTCCAAGTATGTGTGATGTCTTTGTTTGAAAAAGTCATGTTCTCTCCATGTGAACAGGCATCCAGTGATAAAACACTTCAAACTTCGTGAATTTCATAAATGTCTTATTCCCACTCCACAGCAGCAGTGAGCACCTTGGAAAGAATATAGAAACATAAAACTCTGGTGCTCCTTGGGAAATATTTTAAAATCTACTGTAGGATACTAGGAATCTGTAAGAATCCAGACCAAACAGACTTGAGTTGGTGTTTCAGTTTCACCTAACCATGTACTGTGTGTCATGAGTATATTTCTTCATCAGAAAAGTAGGGTAAATAATTCTATGAGTAAACATTCATGGTCATAATGGTCACTTTGGACATTTAGTAAAAGTCAGAATTCAGGGGCCCCTCCCCAAAAGTTCTAACTGGGTCAGTCCGGGTTGGAGTCCAGGAATCTGCTTTTTAAGTACTTCGCCCAGGTGACTTGAGAAAGAGGTAGTTTGAAAACCACTCTTTGAGATACATGGCTTTAAAAAGCATTCTCTTTGATCCACAGAAGAAGTAACAAACCAAAGTAAAATCTTAGGGAAGAGGAATTGGATCCAATACCAATCATCATATTGGTTTTTATTTAAATAATTTATTCAGCAATTCATAATTTCCTGCGTTTCTTCACACACATCTACATTCACAGCCACCAAATTGGGGAAAGGCAACTTTACCATCTGAAGCAGAGGCAGATGATTTGATATTTTATTGGTAGGTCATAAAGGATGCTTTAAAAACAGTTTTCCTCCCAGTACTGGGCCAGGTGATGCGCTCTTTAGTTGAGTACCTGATGAGGCAGTTGGCTTGCACTTATCTTAAACTCCTACTGATCACAGTGAGAGCCTTACAGAAACCGAGACTGAGGCAAGGGACATGGTGGGCTAGTCTCCAGCACTGCTTAAACGATTTCCTTTCTCTTTGTGTTTTATGAGTGTGTAGAGTCGAATGTGCACAAGTTAAATGCTTGCATGATAGACTGGGTAATTATAAGTATCCTTTTAACAATGCAAATAATGTATATGTTTTTCAGGAGGAAGAAAACAAAACTTAGACCGAAAATTTCTATTAACTAAAGAGGACATGTTATTCAATTTTGACAATTTTAAGAAAGTAAGTTGGCTTTCTTTTTCCTCCAATTAGTATGACTGTTTTTATCACCGGGAGAGATTCCTAGTTGGTCTTTATACCCTCCTGAACTCTGATGACAGGGAAGATATTTTCCCTATTTCATGATCTGTTTTTGTTATATGTCTCCCTCAGTAGACTACAAACCTGATATAGAAAAAGAAAAGCCGTAGTGACAATTATTTAGAATTGAATGAATGAACAGTTTCTTTCTTCTAATCACCATGTTAACATTTTATTTTAGAAGGAGCAAGTTTTAGGCTATAAATCTCACCCAGTAGAAGAGGGCGGAACCGATAATCCTGCTTTCAACCACATCGAAATGAACTTCACAGACCCAAGTGGCAGGACCAGCGGGACTCACTTGTGAAGCAGCTGTTATACTTGATGATCGTACACGGTGGCCCAGTTTTATATATTTTCTAAGACAATTCGATCAGGTTTAGATATATATATATATATTTTGTTCATCATGAGTGTTTTGGGGGAAATCTTCGGGGGATAAAATGTTGTTACAACAAAGTCCTGACTTTCCTCATTTACACTTACTCATCGATGCTATGGTGGAGTCTAGAGTTTCAGCATCAGCATTTCCCTCTCTCAGTTCTTTATTTCCATGAATATAGTTGTGAAAGTTATGAAAGTTATGACTCCCTATGTGCCAAAAGGCTAATACACACATATATACACATACTTAATGGTCAAAAGCATATTCTTAAATTCAAGCATTATTAAAAAAATTTCCCATGCTTTTGGTGCTAGCATATAAATTTTGGGGGGATTTCCAAAATCATAACTAATATTGAAAAGAGTTTTTCTCTCTCCTACTACATACTCTATACTTAGGGAACAATGAAGTAATAGGTCTGTGTTGTATATCTCTTTGCTTCTCATTGACTCCTATCAGTCCAGGGCATATATTAGCCTTGGGACCAATTCTGGCTCAGGAAGGTGGAAATCAAGAAGCATGCTGTTTGGGACAGAACATGGGTCCAATGATCAGGTCTTCTTGGCACTGTGCTTCTATTCTTACGCCTTTATGCTTGTTAGCTAGAGTTCCTGGCCACTGGCTGCTTGTGTTGTCTTCTTAGACTCCAGTTCTTAGCTGCATTGCTGGTTTCTCACCCATCAACTTTGGTTTTGTTGTGCACTTTACCTTTGATTGCCTTCCTAGTTTCTTGTTTACTCTGTTGTCTTGAGACACCCCATGTGAATCATGCTGACCCACGTCCTGGCTCACTAAGCCCCAGCCTGTAAATTATAAGCACACATGAACCTGCTACTGACTGAAGTACCTTCAACAGAGGTACTCATGGATTTGGTGATCCAAGGACATTTACACTATTAAAAATGCCTAAGCTCCATGGAGTTAGATGATTACATTCAATGCAATTAAGTTGAATTTTTGAATGTCAACTAATTTGTAATTAATTAAATTTAATGATACATAGGCTTACAGATCTTGACTTCTAGTACACTCACTCCGTTAAAGAGCTAAATTACATAGGCAAACACTACTATTGTTCTTTAATGTTCATAAATTATTAAATATATGCCTTGTTCTATGTTTTCACATTTCAAGTAGCAGTCTCAAAGTTATTTTGTTTATTTTGCTACCTTTCTAGCTAAGAGTTTGATAAGGCTTTCATCAGTTTTTATTTCCTGCAGTACCCACATTAGATATGGTTTAGAATTGTGTTTACTTTTAGCTTTGCAATATTTGAAAATTATTTCAGAAATATTTAAGTACATTAAAATATTATAATTAAGTTTTTGATTATTTTCTGATATTAATGTAAGCTTACTCTGTACATTTATGGTTGCCAATTGAAAACATTAAGAAACAAAAAAATAGGAAGTAGCTTTTATCTAAAACAGATTTATATAACATTTAAAATGTATCCAAATGTTTCATATGTGTATAGATGTTATTTTTAATCAATGCATTTGTAAGCATACATTGAATTTTGTATATCTGTATGTTTTAATGAGTAGAAAGACATAATAATATTTCTTTTATGTGAGTGTGATTTGAACTATTGTTATTTATTTAATAATCCTAAATGCACATGTGTGTAGAATTCTTCAATTTTAAAAATCAAAATCAGGTTAAGTTTTTTTCTCTCATCTGGCTGCCATGGGTTTTGCAATGTAGTCTTAGTGAGAGATAAGGTACTTCCATTATTGTCCACTTTCTTTTACCGAAGTATATCTTTGTGATATTAGGAACTGTTGTTCTTTTGTTTTCATAAATACATGAGTGTCAGATATAATACTTAAGAAATCAAAGTTATGTTATTATTATTAAAAAATATTTATCTTATCTAAATCTTTGTACAAAATCAAAGAGAGGTAAAAGTTACTGTAGTATAATATAAATTAAATAATCTAATGTTCTTAATTATTTTTTTAAAT